TTTCCAACCTTAATGATTCCGTGATTTTATGCTTCCTATTTACCTGTTTTGGAAGGATATAGAAAGGATTGTGATGTCTCATTACTTTGTGATGGCTGATTTAAAAATGAAGCACTATGTAGTTTGAGTTACCACAAACCAGATTCTGCTGTACATCCTATCACTAAGCAGAGCTTTACCTTCCAAATAGTCACATACACAGACTTCTAAGGCAGCATGGCCTGGCATACACAGAGATTCAGGAACAAATTGTAAAGCTCAAGATCTAGCTTGCCTATTCCTAATATTAAAGCAGCTGTTTTTTAAATGGAATTCTCTAATAGTATTTTAATGTGATGTTTTCAACATTATGTAGAATTTTAAAAAGGGACTGCTTAATTATCTCCAATAGTGTAATGAGTTATGTGTTAGGTAAATGATTTTTCTTTGGTTCTGTCTGACTGGTGAGGAAAGTCTGTGGGGATTTGAATTTTCTTTGTGCAATTAAGAGAAGTATCCAAGCAATTCTGTTGGCAACAGTGAGTGGTGTGGGACACATGACTTGAAACTAATCTCAGGCTGTTACTTGTTGGATCTTTCCAACAGAGAATGGGAGATATGTGAAACAGCTCCTTGAAATTGCTTGCCTTCTTACATTTTCAAAACAATGTTCTTACTACTGCCTCCAGCTAGTCAGCTTCCTGAGATGGGCATGGACTTTCTGGAGGTCAAAACAGTTTAAAAGGAAGAAATCATTTTAACAAGAAGCTCTGAGTATGTAATTTAACTTGAATTAAAAACAGCTTTCTAGAGTACAGAAGAATTGGCCCTTACTATCTGAAATGAACAGCCCTGGGGCTGATGGAACATTTTGAGATATCCCCTTGCAGCATTATTTCATTTGGAATACTCTGTGTTCCACTGACATAACTGTGATCATAACAAATTCATCTAGTAATCATGTGCAGGGCATAGTGATTCTCGTGTCCACACCCCCCCCTCAGCTGCCCACCCCAAACACAGGTAATATTTGTAGAGGTATTGCTGCTTAAACAAAGCTCAACTGCTGACAATCTGCATTTCATACATATTCTTTTACCTGTGGGTAACAAACAGTAGATCATGTTCTGTTTGTGTGCTTGTCTTCTCTGCAAGAAAGAAGTGTAAAACACCTTTCTTCCTCTTTGCCTGACCTTTTCTTTTGCCAGTGGAGCTCAAGAAAACTACCTTTTTTGTGTTTCATGGACTATAACAGACACAGTGTGACTGAAGGACTAATACTACCTTTAATGGATATAAAATGAATGCCTAATGCTCTGAATGATTCCTGGTTCTTATAATCTGCACAATTTTGACTGACCAAAAGAGAAAAGAGTAAAAAAAATTCTGAAATTGGAGGATTTATGTGTCTTAAATACACAAATATTAATTTGTTAGATTATTATTTAGGAAGACTTTATATTAGTTTGTAAGATTTAATTTGATAACCTGAGCTACCTAGATTTGGATGAAATTACTTTCCTCATGTTTATGAATGGTGTCATTGTTTAAAAAGAAAAAAATCTTCTCCTGTGTCTCTGCTACCTGCTCTCTGCCATGCCTTTTTTTTTGTGTGTGCTCATCATAGGCTTGAAGGCAAATGTTGGAAAATGTGGGTAGGTGAGGTGAAAATCTTGAGTTACAAGTTGCCACCAGCAGTTGCAGATCACTTCCAGTGACATTTCCAGGCTTTTTTATTCGTTAATGAGCCTTTGAAGAGCCTGCAATTAATTACTGAATCAGCTCATTGTTGCTTCATTTTCTTCATCATGTTCTTGCACTCAAAAGCAACAAACACAACAAAAGTCCTTAAATTGAAGTCAGAATTTATTTTTTAAAAGAACCTCATAAATCTCAGGTGATAGTACGTGGTCACTGGGAAATACAGACCATTTGGATTGTGGACACTAGTGAAGTCAGTAAAATGGATAAGGCCAGCCATGACAAAAGCTCTGGTTTGCAGAGATGTGATTTTTATTATTTTACATAGAGGATCCTGGAAGCAGCAAATGGTTCCCTCAGAGATTCAGAGTAAAATGAACTTCTTCAAATGAACTTGCTTCAAATAAGAGAGGCACAGGGAATTGAGGAAGGAGTATGAGAGAGATGTAAGGAGGCCATTCTTCTGGAGTTCTGGTGCATTTAAAGCAAACAAACAACCAAAAGCCCCAAAGAGGTGATTGGATTGATGTTCCATGTTTCAGTGAAGCAGCCAGGAGAAGAACGAGGTTTTTTCCCATTAGAGCTTTGACATGCTCCTTTATTTTATTACCATGCTCTCAAGCATGTTTAATGCTTATGGATATGAGATCAGAACAGACCCCCCTGAGGAGTCCTTTGCAGGGTGGGATGTAGAGGTTAGGAAAGGAAGCACTAAAAGGAATCCCAAACAGCTCCTCTCTGTTTTCTCTCTGCCATTTCAATATAATGAACAGGGATAAATAAAGCAATAAAGCTGTCTGCATCCACAGCTGTATGGTTCCTATTCCCATAGCTCAGCAACATCAATCAAAAGTGAATTAGAGAGACATGTTATATTTCTCTTGCATATCAGAGAGCTGTTCAGGCATTACCAAATGTTAATTCATTTTAGCAGCTTGAAATGAGGCAAAAGTCTGGCAATAGTGTATCTGAAAACTCTTTGCTGTGTCCTGGATTTGTGTCCTGTGTCATCCCCTCATTTCTTTGAAGTAGCAAGGGCACTGCTGAATGTGATTTCCATACAAAATGAATTATACTGTGTCCTCATTTAATACTCCTTCTGTTACTGCTATTTCTACTTACTCCTGATGCTTGGCTGATTGCAATCTGGCATTTCTTCTCCTGAGCCCAAAACACAGGTTTTCACTCCTGACATGCACAAAGTCTTCTGGAACAACAGACCATAATACAGTTTTAGATTAAGTGGCGGTTGAAAAGGTTACTGTGTTTCCAACTCTGTTATCCTAGAGTATTACAGTGTGGTTATATCTAGATAGTAAGCAAAACAATATCTGGATTCTGGTGAGGCAGTGGAATAACACTGAAATAATACATGACAAACAGAGTTTGGTTGCTGTAAGGTGATTTTTGGCCAGTTACTTCACCTCTGTGCTTTATTTCATCCTATCCTCTTTTGTGCAGTTATATCATCTCTGAAAATGTCGACCAGGCAATTTTTTTGCTTAAAGACAAACAAAACTGCTAGGTCCCTTAAAATGTGTGAATTCAATAGAAAGGTTTTCAGCATAGTTTTACATGCTGCAATGTAAAAAAGCGAGAAACTGTTAGAGCACAGTCAGGTTTCCTGTCACCATTCTTAGCATCTCATGGAAGACCTGTCACAGCCCAGACTGACAGAAGCCAGTGGAAACGATCTCTGTGCTAAACCTGGGGTAAAGTTTTAAAATAAGTTTTACAAAGGAAAAAGCTGAGTGGATGGTGAATAGTGCAACTGCACATTCATGCCATGAAACCGTCACTGAGTTTTCTTTTTCACGGTTCTGCACGTTGTGTTTCCTCTAACGAGAGCAGCACCCAGTGGCTGAAAAATAACCAGCGCTGGAAATGGAGCAGGGTCCGGGTGTCTGGAGAGCAGGAGAGAGAGACTTTCTGATCATGCATGGCATAATTCCAAGGCAATGACTGTACAATTACTATGACTCACTTTAATGGTACAGTAATTTACATAATATTTTCTGCTGAAGTGCCTTAAATGTTTTTGATTGCAAACACCAAAATAAGTCCCATAGAATCTTTAGCTCAAAATCTCAAAACAAGTGAGAACAAACCTGATGCAGCTGGTAAGCACTTTGAAGCCACTGATATTAAAAAAAAAACCCAACAGACAAACTAAAAAAGTTGCAGATTCTCAACATGGTTTAGGATTTATAACTATCTTATGTTAAAAAAAAAGTTTGAAAAATGATGTTTCAATATTAAATATTTATACAGCAGCCATGTTTATAGTTTGAAACTAGTATTCACTTCAAACCTGGAATAATTTCCTTCTCTCATTCAGTTACAATGACATTGTAATCCAAGTCTGTTTGTCTAGATATTATGCTTGTTTGCATTAAAGAGAAACATTTTTTAAACTGTTGCACATAATTTCTGCAATGAGATTCAGTCACTATGGATCTCCCACAAACTCGGGATGAATGTAGGTGGTTATACTGGGGGAAGAGGTAGAAAATTTTGTTCATATCCTATTCCTTTATTTGCTTCTTTTATCTGATATGATGGAGCTTCTATCTGCTTGAGCTTGTAGAGAGTCCTGCAGATTTTAGTGTAACAACCTGTGAGAGTAAAAAGCGAGACCACTTCAGTCTGTTTATACTGGAAACTTCTAACACTTCAGCAGGATAGAGGGCTAAGAACAGATTTTTTTTCAAAAAAAATAATCCCTCAGAAAAATTGTATTCTGAACTCTTAAAAACTGGCATCGACTGTCACAATGGCAGCTGATGAGTTGCGAAAGTTCCGCTTCATTTAAATGTTAAAGCTGGAATGAGGATTTTTCCTCTCAGTCCATTCCAGCTGTATATATGTGAACAGAGGTGTCAGCGACTTTGCAAGTCTGGGCACTCGTGAAAAACCAAAATCAAGTCAGGATTTTGGGGCTGCATTAGATGCCTTTTTGAAATTAATTTGCTAATGAAGGACTAGTAATAAGGAAAAAATGAGCATATCTGAATCTACAAATCTATTTCTTTCTTCAGCCCAAGTGATCTGTCAAAGGCTCTTTGACCTTGGCTCCTTAGCTCTCAAGGTTTGCCCAATTACAGTTTTGTGCAGTGTAAAGCAGTAACAATTTATTTACAGTTCTTTTTGAGGGAAATTTACATGTTGAGTAGTGGAACGATAGCTCTTGATCTACACTTAATTAACAGTGACACTGCTCACACTTATTCAAATGGAGCTAAACATAGAGATGTGTAATTTTTATGCCAATTAGTCTGGTCAAGTGAGGTTAGCAAATGAAAGACTCTTTAACTCATAAAGAAATTGGGTGTTTGTTTATTTCTAAAAAAAAAGCTTCACACTGTTCCAGCCTCTTGCATCACTGTAGAAAATACAATACTGATCACAAACACAGGAAGGTGCTCAACAGTGGCTGAGTTTTACATATGTGGAATCTAGGGGGAAGCAGGGATAAGGCAACAAAGTCTTATAAATGAATGGGAACAGGTTTTTTAATGGCTAGTGGCCAGCCAGGTTTGTATTACTGATGATTCTACCTGAGGACAGGTCTGGTAGTCTTGGTAAAAGCCTGTGAATATGGAATAGGTGAAGTTGTCAGTTTTGAGTGCGAGCAGAGGAAAACCAAAAGCACTGTGAACAGTGGGAGAGGCTTGGCTGTTCAGAGTGGCTGTGACAGTGCTTTATCATAAGACGTTGCCTCAAATTTAGCTTTTGAGAATCTCTGCCCATAGGAATTGCTTAGAATCTGAAATGTTGAGAATGATCATCCATGGGAAAGCAAAGGATATTTGGGGTTGAAGTCAAGTAAATCTGGGCTGTGCAATTTGTCAGATTGTACACATGTATAAACTGAGGCAGAGAACTGGTCCCATTGTTGTTACATAAATTGGTAGTGAAATCCATCTCTTTGTGTGAGTGGCACTCAAGCCTATAAATGGCCACTCCTCCTAGTAATATTTTACATATTATTTGTGTGCAGTCTAGTCTCTTCAGTCTGTACAGCAGCAGATTTCTAGCATTTATATTTACCTTTTGGGGGGTTGACTTTTAATTGAGGAACGTTCATTTTGTTGGAGTTCTCTTCTGTAGCTGCTAATGGGTTGATAAAGTAAATTATTCAGTGTAATATCTTTCAGATTATTAGTATGGGTAGAAAACAAAACAAAAAAAAACCCTACAATGTTAAACAGAAATGCATTAAAACAGTACTGCTGGCTTTTGAGTTTTAAAAGGTACACTGGACATCAAAATACACTGCCTCTACAGCCTTATTGTAGTTCAGAGACACAATTAGAACAGATTCAAACTTAAATAAAAAATAAAACAAAAATCTCTATTCCTTGCACACCACCTGCTGCTCAGTATCCAGCAACACAAATTTGCTTTGACAGTGTCTGTACCAGACTGGAAGTGAACATGTGAGTCATCTGCTGTTTCCTGGAGATGGTTGTACTGCACAGTGTTTGCCAGCCAATCCCACAGGGAAAAGCCAGGCTCTGCTTTGGGCTGCAGTACTAAATGTCAGGAGAAGATTTGAGGTTTGCAGTGGAAGGGCCTCCCTGATCCTCTTCCAGCTGTCTGCTGAGGCTCAAAACTTGAAAAGGGTCTGAGTAGCCCTGAGGGAGGATAAGCAAAAGTCAGAAGAAGAAAAGTAATAATGGTTCTGTTTGCATGGAGTTTACAGGCTGCACAGCTGCATGAAAGGAATATGGTTGGAGGCTTTGCTGGTCTGTGTGTGCCAGTTTGGTTGAACAAATGTCCTGTAAATAAAAAGGAAACCCTAGAGAGCCTTTGCTAAACTTGGTCCTCCTGTGAACTCTCTTGGTAGCTGCTCAGAGCATGACTGTCCCTGTCTGTGCAGCTGATGGGGGCTTGGCTGCTAATCCATGGATCCCCACTGGAAAGGAAACAAGGCAAATATTGGCACTGGGAAACATTAGTGAATTTTGAGCAATCACCAGTGAATTTCACTTTGATGAAATAATTTCTTTATTTAAGCAACTCTTGCTATATGATTTTGATCCTACAATATTAATGCAGTTTCAGAAAAATACTGTACATGAGGCATGAGCAGTACTGCAACACTGGACACCTTTTAGTGTGATTGAACTGTGGAATTATATGCAACATTGATTTGGAATTTGATTAGAAGCTTCAGATAATTACAGTGGTCAGATTTCTTACTCAACTAAATTAATTTCAATTACTTTTGAATTTTGAGTGCTCCTGCCATGCAGGGTACCTGCTGTGCCCCTCCATTTTCAATAGCTGCTTATAGGTTTCCTGGCAGTTGTAACATCTGGAGTGTGGTTAAAAAAAAAAGGCAATACTTTCCTTATGTTCTTTATACTGATAGTGCTCCACTGTGCATTCATTTGATTTTACAGTTAGCTGTGACATGTATCTCTAGCTGTGTTTTACCACTGTCAGAGACTGAAACGGTTAATGATTTATGCAGTCTAGGATTGCCAAGGGACTTTTGCAGGTTTCTGCAGGACTTTTGCATTTTATCTCCGATGGCCCATCAAAGACCATCCCCTGCCCTGCCAACCTTGAAAGGCAGGAAAAACCCTTTGGCCAGGCCCCTCCTGGAACTCAGCACAGACCCAGGAGATGTTGGAGCCTCGTGGCATGGCCTGTGACACTAACCATGGGTATAATAACTCATAACTTCTTTGAGTTGGGGGCTTCCCTCCTTCACCCCCAGCAGATCAAGGCCACACTTCAACTGACAGACATGGAAGCGGCAACTCCCAGGTGTCATCGCTGGACCCCGTGGGCGGTGACTCACTCTATCTATCTGTCTATCTATCTATCTATCTATCTGTCTATCTATCTATCTATCTATCTATCTATCTATCTATCTATCTATCTATCTATCTATCATCTATCTATCTATCTATCTATCATCTATCTATCTATCTATCTATCATCTATCTATCTATCTATCATCTATCTATCTATCTATCTATCTATCTATCTATCTATCTATCTATCTATCTATCTATCTATCTATCTATCTAATCTTTCCACTCTCAGTTTTTCTTTCCCTTACTCTCCCTTACCCTTATCCTGTCTTTCCTTTCTCTCCCTTATGCATTTTTCCCCCAGGGGTTATCCCTATGATAGATAATACAGATGACAACACCCAAAATGTTAACATACCTGTTCAAACAAAATCGTTAGAATAAACCCTACCTGTATATGTTTTCAAACACCGATAATTCAGTGTTGTTTCACTCTAATCCACCCCAAGGGAATTATTGATAAGAACCTGGGTTACCCCCCTCCCCTTTTTCTGGGTCGGGTCGTAACAACCACACACACAAAAATGAGAGGAGGAAAGCACGTTTAAGATGTAGTACACTTGCACTAGAGAGAGTATTCATTCAGTATTTTTGTTACAGCCTTTTTGAATGATTATATGCCATAATTCATTTTAGTACTTTTATCAGAAAATAAACTGACTGAAAACCCAAAATATATACTGTTTCTTTCATAAAAGTGATTTCAAGTGCTTGCCAGATCTGATCATCAGTACAGTTACTGAAAAGATCTAAGTTGTAGCTGAAAGATATAGCCTTTAAAAAAGGCAAAATGCAAGGTAGTAAAATAGAGGTAGAACTGTTTTCCCTATATCTCATTTGATAATCTTTAAATATAATTTCTACTTGACTTGGCCAGCCTTTGAGAGAGTTCAGTGACTCAGTGTTTTGGGGTCTCAGGAAGATATCTCAGAAACTGTGCAGAAAAGTCTATTATTTAATGGATACACACTGTCTTTAATACTGCTTTCGCTTTTTTACAGAATTTAAAGTATCTGTATAAACTGGAGTCTTGCTGCCATATTTAAAGGTAGGTCTTACCAAGGCATAATCCAGTATCTCTTCAAGTGAAGTAAATTCTGAGTTTGTCTCAGTTCCTGTTTTCACACACACCTGGAGAAGGCAACTCAGCTATAATTTAAGGAGAAAAAAAAATCTGATATAATTATTGGAAAATCACCTTTTGTTCATTTTGACTTTAATAGCTCTGTTGAGGAAAGCAAAGTGACTAATCAAAGTAAAAGGCTGCTTAAGAATGAAGCAACATAAAACCTCATCAACAACAGAGTTTAGCAATAGAGCCCAAGGCAATTTCCAAGCCATTAGAACTGCCTGTGGAGACTGCCAAGCTGCAGGAGCTAGAAAAGTATTTTTCACAGTTTGATGTAAAGTCTTGGGGTTTTTTTTCTGGCCCCTTTTGCTTTAAGGACATACCATGTAGTTATTAAGGGGCAATAAACAGTATATTTAGTGTGAATTTTAAAACTATATATATATATATATATATATATAATGGCAACACTAACAATCAAGTAATAATGCTACTAAAGTGAGTTCATTTCTCTATGCTCATTTTTAGCTAAATTCTGTTCAAATGTAGAAAAGAGAATTACGTATGTAATTTATATGTGCATGTCTGTATACAGATTAGACAAGAGGTTAGTCAAGGAACTCTGAGGATGGTAAGTTTAAGGAGAGTGGTCCTGTCTTACTGAAATTGTGTGTTTCTGAGAATCAAACCTTTGTGTGGGTATGAACTGTCCTATTTAACATTTCTCTTGGACAATGAGAACACACCTGCTCTGCACAGCATACCCTGAGTATAGGGATATCTCACTGCTTAGAATCCTTCTAGATCAGTATGTTTTAATTAGCCTAATGGATCACTGGTTACCAGCTTAAACTGCAGTGCATGCCCTACTCTCTTATATGCTGGGGATACATATAACAATATCTGAACCCACTAATGAGAGTCATTGAACCTTACCTCTTAAAAAAGTTTCTAGAGGTTGCTTAAAACTCAAAGGTAAAAGTGTGTGCTCTGTTAAAAAATTGGCACAGTGAGACTGGATTTCATGGTGCTTGTTAAATTCTTTTGAAGGCCTGTAGTGGAAGCTGCAGCATTGCTGTGGCTGCTAGTTTTCTAAATATAAGAAGCCCCAGGATCGTGGCAGCTTGTGTAGCATGGTAACTTTGATGGAAACACTCTTTTATCCCTCTGTTGACTGGGATCATCAGCCTACAGTATCCACAATCAGCTGAATTTAAATCCAACACGGCCTATCTAAATCAGGGCAAAAATGAAACAAAGAATGTTCAACTGTATTTGCCTTACTGGTTGATAGAGTTGTCTCCTTTTCATAAGTATGAATTACAGTGAGACCTTTCACAGAGGAGTGTACATGAGACAGCAGTGGTGATCTGCTGATTTTTGTTCTTCCTAGTTCTTGGATAGTTCTCAGAAAAAACCCCTGACATAGTAGGAATGCAAGGTACTATGTGCCAGTAAAACCCCTGGGTGTAAAGCACAGCTGATCATTTGTTAATGACACTGCTCATGCAGGTGATTTGAACTGAAACATTGCAATGTGTGTACAATGACAGCTCTCCACTTATTTGTGCTCTGTAATTTTGCTTGAATGTCCCAAGAATGCAGAACTCTACATATCCTTCTGGTTTCTGCTTTGTTTTTTCTTATAAGCTGAGTTCTGCTTTCGATTTAGAGAAAATTGAGACTACAGCCTTATCAATTAACTTTTTAAATACTTTGCACCTTCAGAAACCTACAAGAAGGTAGTTCCTATAATCCTGAGCAGAATGACAATTTTGTCTAGGTTTGGCATAGTAGGAGAGAGTTAGGACAGCCCTATGGCTTGCAGTTTTAACACATACCCAGTTTAGGCATCTAGCTTAGGACACCTTTAAAAACCTGTTAGAGAGTAGTTACTAGTACTTGAATTGGTTCCCTTCAGGTGATTTCAGGTCACTTGTCAGTTGAAAACTCTGGCTGCACTTGCTATTTCTGTATCTACTTTCTCCCTGAAGGTTTTAGCATAGAAAAATGTTACTAATACCTTTTTTGTATTCAGAATCTCCTGTCATGTTTCAGTACTCATAATGCATTAATAACAAAAGAATGCAAGATGCTTACCATTGCAGAATCTCTCTTACATTATTTTGTGTCCTTTCCTAAGTGATGTTTTGGGAATATTGAAGTATGACAAAACATACAAGAAAACCAGTGAAAATACTTTAATAAGTATTGTCAGAAGGGGAGAGAAGCTTGAAGAATAGCAGCACACCTAATCAAGCACACACTCTGCAAAACTGAACACCTCTGTGCTCTGCAGTGATGGTTGAATGTTGGAAAGTATCTTTGAATTTTCTCAATTCTTGCATTGCTGGGTGCTTCTATCATGTGCTACAGAAGTGAATTTCCAGCCACTTCAGTTTGCCATCCCTCCTAACCTGGCCTATATCTGGGTCTTTGTTGGTACCTGCAGGACTCTGGGGGAACAGGCAGTAGTGGTTGACAGGTCCCCCTGTAATCACACTCTGCACAGATGAAGAGACCTCACTACATTCATTAAAAACGGTTTAACCAGAGCTGGTTATACAAAGAGCAGGGAATAATTGACAGCCTCCTGTGCTGAACATGCTTGCTAGTTAAGATACCTGGTTCTACAGTTCTCAGCTTCTGATAAGCCTTCACAAAAGAATCTGGAGAACTGAAGATTAAGGATAAAAATCAAAAGCATACGCTGTAAATTTCTGTAGTTCAAGCAAAATGGATAATTCAAACCCCTTAAAATATCTTGAAGGAATAGTACATCAACTCACTTAAACAGAATAAAAAAAGCCCCAAAATAACAGCTTGATAGCAACTGCAATTAGCAGAGAAGGAAAAACAACAGCTATTTTGACTAGAATAAAGAAGACTTCAAACTGCTGCAAAAAAATCTCAGCATGAAATGGAAGGGTCACATCCAATTCATCCATATTATGAGAAAAAAAGGGTCATTAGACTGCCAGTGGGAGTTTTATCAGAGAAACTCATTGAACTCTTTAAGATCTGTGGATAATGGGAAAGACAGAATCAGGTGGTAGTCTTTTACTGTAGTTAGAATTTATGTAGAAATGCATACAAAAGCCTTAATCCTGGCTAAGATTAAAATTACAGGAGAAGCAAGCAATTTTATTATAGCTTTTACAACATCATCATTTATAAAGCACCTTTTCTAAGTAATGTTATTGAAAGTAAAATAAATGTCAAGTCTTAAAGTCTTCCTGTTGTTTTCATAAGGAAAGCAAAAAAAAAAAGCATGAGAGTCAGGATGTCAAGGATTTGATGATTTCATAGCAAAACCTACTGTCTCCACTTAGCTCTGTGACTTGTACATGAATAATAGCAACTTAAAGTAGATTAGAGGGGCTGTTATGGACTTAGGTTACACAGGATAATAGCTTTACTGAGAGACCTTGTCAGAGGGTTTTAGACATTTTATGAAGATTAACTGAGTAAGAGGTTTTTATAGGTGGTACTTTTTGTATAATAATAGAAAACCTGATGTAAAAGGCTGAGATTCATGTAATCTGCTTTAGGTACCTATAATGTAGATGTCTGCACCCAAGCCTGTTATCTGTCTTTACAATCAGTGGAAATAAGTAGACACTTCTAAAGGACTGTTCATGTTTCAGGCATTTTATCTCAGGACAGGATAAATCTCACTTAGGTTGCTGGTTTTCTCCTTCAATTGTTAAGGAAGTCTAGATAAATATTAAACAGGTATTCTCTAACTAACTGGAAAAAACAAGGTAGCTACTTTACCTCCTAAGACAAATTACCAGATAACATAGAAGGAAACTTTAATGAAAAATAAACCCTTTAATGATGATTGGTATGATCATGGTGACTATACTGATTCCATAGACTAATAGATAAAAGTACTTTCCAGCACAACAGTTTTTTTATCCAGAATGTTGTAGTTTTCCTTTAAAAAATACAGAAATGGAACCTAATCTTCACGGATACAACGATAGACAGGACTGGACAGAGACAGAGCAACTGAAGTTGATGGCACATTTTCTACACTGCCTTTTTTTCTTTAATTTTTATTTTCTTTTAATTGGAAATTGGGTCTAAAGAAGACTGGTATATAAAGCAGTTTTAGGACATCTTGTATAGTAAATCCTCCTTTATGTAGAAAAAGCCTTGGATCTATAGGTTTTATACAAGTCTCTCTCATATCACACAGACACCATATTTTTATTGCATTGAGTTATGAAACATTTGTATTAACTTTTGACAGTGTTTAGTTTCACAATATAAAACTTGCATTTTACCCAAATCACACTCTGTTCTTCTAATGCCTCACCTTCCATTTGATATAACTGTCAACTTTGTTTTCAGACATTTGGTTTATGTTTCTGGATACTTTGGAAATTTCAAGCATTTCCTCTACTATACAGAGTGAAGTTATTTTCACAGGCAGTATGAAGTTAAGTCACAGAGGATAATCCTCTTGAGTTTTTAGAGGTATGCCTCAGTTCCATGTTATTGGAACCAGACTCAGATGACTGTGATGTATTTCTTGTTCTCTTCCTCTAGAAATAATATATTTAGTTTCGTGTGCCCCCTATGCATTTGTCACATTATATGGAATCGTTGAATGGTTTAGGGTTGGAAGGGACATTTAAAGCTCATCTAGTCCAACCCCCCTGCAAAGAGCAGGGACATCTTCAGCTAGATCAGGTCGCTCAGAATCCTGTCCAACCTGACCTTGAATGTTTCAAGGGATGGGGAATCTGCCACCCCTCTGATCAAACTGTTCCACTGTTTTATGACCCTCACCATGAAAATCTCCCTTATATTTAGTCTGAATCTGGTCTCTTGAAGTTTAAAACCATTATCCCTCGTCCTGGCTCTAGGACAAGGGCACTAATGACATTTAGCAACGCTAACATGTCTGTCCCCGTCTTTTTTATAGACCCCTTTCAAGTCCTGAAAGACCATGAGTAGGTCTCCCTGGGGTCTTCTCTTCTCCAGGCTGAACAGCCCCAATGTTCTCACTCTTTCCTCATAGGAGAGGTGTTTCATCCCTCTGATCAATTTTTGGCCCTCTCCT